CAGTGTGCTTTTGTTCTAGAAAGATTAGTCACAGACAATATTATATGTGCCTATGAGTGTTTGCATTTCATGAAGCGGACAAAATCGAAAACAAATAGTTTTTGTGCGTTGAAGCTTGACATGATGAAGGCCTAGGACAGACTGGAATGGTCGTACTTGAGAGCTATTATGGCCAAGATGGGATTCACAAGACAATGGATTGATGTTGTCATGAGTATGGTATGCTCAGTATCATTTTCGGTGTTGTTCACTGGAGAGAAACTCCATGAGTTTAAACCGTTAAGAGGAATCCGACAGGGAGACCCAATTTCCCCTTACTTGTTCTTGATTGCAACAGAGGGCCTTTCGTGCCTTCTGAAATCCAGTTCTCAATCATCAGATTTAGCAGGTATTAAGGTGGCCCCCATGGCGCCCACCATTAACCACCTTTTATTTGCAGATGACAACCTGTTGCTATCCTCAAAAAATTTCAGCAAAGGATGTCCAGGGCCGGTAAGAGAAGAAGTAAAAAATTCTTTGCAGGTCCATAATGAATCCCTTAGTGATCATTATCTTGGTATGCCGACTGACGTTAGCCACTCAAAGAATGGGACCTTCAAGTACTTGAGAGACCGATCTGGGAGAAGATAATGGGGTGGATGGAGAAGCTCTTGTCTGCAACAGGAAAGGAAGTGTTGATTAAATCAGTAGCTCAAGCCATCCCGGTCTTTTCTATGTCCTGTTTTAGGCTACCGCGGGGTCTTTGTGACAATATCACTTCAATCATAAGGCAGTTATGGTGGGGATCAAAGCAAGGGAAGAGGAAACCAAGTTGGGTGGCATGGGATGTAATGACGAGAATAAAACACATTGGAGGTTTGGGCTTCCGAGATTTGGCGATTTTCATTTTGTCGCTTCTTGCGAGACAAACATGGCGGATTATGACTGATGAAACTTCAATGAGTACCCAGATGCTTAAATCCATATATTTTCCTACTTGTGAGTTGTTAGAGGCAGAGCTTGGGTCTCATCCTTCTCCGATATGGCGAGTGATACTGGATGGGCGCGATATTCTGGCGCGAGGCATAATTCGCAGAATTGGCGACGGCGAGAGTACGAGCATATGGACACACAATTGGATACCATGGGAGAGTTTCAAACGTCCTATCACATCCCTGGTTCCACATCCTCCGGTCAGAGTCGTGCAGCTCATCGACGCAACGACAGCGAGTTGGAATGAGAGTTTCATCAGATCAGTGTTCACGCAATTTTATGGTTTAGGCACATCACAGACCCAACAACATTAGAGGTGTTTGCTGTCAGGGAGGCATTGGCTCTATCAGATGATCTATATATTTAGAGATTACATATTGTATCAGACTGCAAGGTGGTCGATGAGGACATTCAAAAGCGAAATCGAACGAGTTATGGAGTTGTAATCCAGGAGATCATTACCCACTCTGCTTCTTTCATTTCGTGCAAGATAGTTTATGAAAATAAGAGCTCAAATTTTGAGGCTTGCAATTTAGTGAAGCACGCTCTTATCCTGGGAGGCGGCCGTCATATTTGGTTAGGTCATCTGGGAAATCTTCCGTCCATCCTGTAAACATTGTGACGAATTAATAAAGCTTTGGCGAATTGTCAAAAAAACAACAGTGGCCGAGCGACGCTCTAAAAGAAAAGGAAAAAAAGCAGCGACCGAGCGACACAATACGGCAGCGTATACTGTTGGAATTCTGCCCACAGGATCGATCACATCAAAATAGACGAAGAACACGCACACGAAAAACTTTGGCCAAGGGCATGTGTCGTGCCCCTTCTTTTTATTCCTTTTCTTATTTTTCTCCACGATACAATCAACCGACCGTGCCGTGCATATAAATATGCAGAACCAACCGACCCAACACAAAGCCTATCTTACACAGACTTGCTTTTGGACTCCAAAAGCATACATGGACACGCTAAACAATACCAATAACTTGGACTCCTAATCTCCTACACGTACCAGACTCATGAGCTGACTCATGGCAACTTGCAGGACTAATACATAGCAATAGCCACGTACGTAACCCACTAGTAATCCAACTGGACTTTGACTCTTAGCCCTAAGCGCATGCTAAACACAACGTGATCATCAAGATTACTCTAACAATCTCTTCCTAATCTTGACACTTTGTCTTCTGTGCTCCCCAGATCCTGGCTTGTCAATGATTCATCTTTTGTTGACTCGTCCGCTCGCACCATGACAAGTCAAATTGACGATCTTGATTGCTCGCAACAATCTCCCCTCCAATTTCGACTTGGCGAATTTACGGACCACCTCAAATATGTCTTGGACTACCCAGCCTCGCTAGTAACCCGTAGAATGCACCACCCGGTGGACTGCACCATCCACCCTAGCGAAATACATGCTGGCTCCTTGTGGATCACACCACCCTGTGGACTAAACCGCCCACTTCAGCCTCATGTAGAGACATGGCCTCATTGAAGAGACTCACCTTTACTGGTTTACCGCCCCCATATAGTTGAACTTGATCCTCTCGTCGAGACACATGGACGACCTTGGCAAACTTTATCTTCAACGCCTTCTCACAGAGACAAGCACTTGGACATGACGACGACGACGACCGACCGACCGACGCGTGCTAACCCGCTCGACTCCTTAACTCTAACTCCCGGATGACAATCTTGACGACTTTCCGGCACCGCATCACCGCACCACCGCTCCCGTCAACGATCTCCATCCGCCGCCTTGCCGACGATAACCTGTCGTCTCCCTCCATGTCGCTCCGCCGAACGACGATCACATGATCCTCCTCGTCGCTGCAGCACCCAGAAACAACATCGCCCGCCCCGAGGCGCTAGTCGGGTCGCGACCCCGGGGCAAGCACGCCTTCAAATCAACCTAGCTCTGATACCACTTGTTGAAATTCTGCCCACACGATCGATCACATCAAAGTAGACGAAGAACACGCACAGGAAAAACTTTTGCCAAGGGCACGTATCGTGCCCCTTCTTTTTATTCCTTTTCTTATTTTTCTCCACGATACAATCAACCGACCGTGCCGTGCATATAAATATGGAGAACCAACCGACCCAACACAAAGCCTATCTTACACGGACTTACTTTTGGACTCCAAAAGCATACATGGACACGCTAAACAATACCAATAACTTGGACTCCTAATCTCCTACACGTACCAGACTCATGAGCTGACTCATGGCAACTTGCAGGACTAATACATAGCAATAGCCACGTACGTAACCCACTAGTAATCCAACTGGACTTTGACTCTTAGCACTAAGCGCATGCTAAACACAACGTGATCATCAAGATTACTCTAACAATCTCTTTCTAATCTTGACACTTTGTCTTCTGTGCTCCCCAGATCCTGGCTTGTCAACGATTCATTTTTTGTTGACTCATCCGCTCGCACCACGACAAGTCAAATTGACGATCTTGATTGCTCGCAACATATACGTGGACTTGCGAGCGGCAACAACTGGCCGTGGCCCGTGGGAAGGTACGAGTGGGGCATCTGGCCACTGGGCGTGCCGGCGTTGAGGGATGGCGAGCCACCGGCGGCCGGTCACTCGGTCAGGGCTCTCTCGTCGCGGCCGCGCCCAGGCATCAGGCGCCGCCGCCGCTGCCGCCGCCGTGTGCAGTGAGCCGGCGAGCAGCAAGCCATTGGCAAGAGCAGTCTGCCCTCCCTCTCCCCGCTGGTATATATTCTTGGACAGTTCTTAATTAGTTGTGGGAGATCTAACTAGGTCATCTGCAATTCACATTGGGTCATGGATTCCTGCTCTAAAATGTTTGCTGTTTGCAGAACAGCAGAAGGGGCAGTGATGGTTAAGGGGGAAACTATTGATGTATTTTTCAAAAGAAAGAGAGATGAATGTGATTTTGGTACAGTTTCTTTTGTATGGACTAGGTTATACATATAATTAACATTAGTATGATTTCTCATTCGTTTTGTAAGCTAGTGTGGGTAAGTAAATATAATTATCCGATTTTCTAAATATTTGCAATATCTAACTTGTTGTATTAGTATGATTTCTCATTTATTTATTTTTTTGCAGCTTCACCCCTCCTAAGATTTTTCTCAAGCTCCGCCACTGCATATGGTCTAGGTAGACCCTCCTATCTTTATCTATCACTAGTCTCATTGCTTTCAGACTTTGACACCCTCATTCATTTTTTTCCCTTCCAATCATGTTTGACACTCTCCTGTCTTTATCTATCATATCACTGGTTTGACTAACTTCAGACTTTGACACCCTCCTAACAGGCAATGAGAGCTGAGTTTCAGTTGGAAGGACAGAAAATTCCGGAGAGTGTTCGTCTATCTAATCCCAAGCTCATATGCGTGCTGCATTATCCACTCGCTGCAGCGGAACTGCTCCGAACAACCATACCTCAGCTATATCTGTGTGCTATTTTCTTCCCTAGACACAAAAGGTGCAAGGAGACAGCACAATGGATGTGCACTATATTCCCATCCTCTTCCTTCTACTCTTGAGTTCGTTCTTCGAATCCGACGAACAGCTTACACGGGCAAAGCCACTCGCCCACGGCGACACACTCATCTCAGAGAGCGGGAACTTCGCTCTCGGCTTCTTCTCCATAACCAGCTCCAACAAGAGTTCTTACCTTAGCATATGGTACCACAGCATCCCTAGCCCACGCACCGTTGTGTGGGTTGCCAATCGAGACAACCCAATCCGCTATTTGGAGGGCTACAAGCAGTATCACCACAGGAGGGGCCGAAGCTTACGCCTTGCTACTCAACTCGGGGAACTTTGTCCTCCGATCGCCAAACTCCACGGACGTATGGCAGAGCTTTGATCACCCGACAGACACACTATTTCCAACGATGAAATTTTTATTGAGCTACAAGGCACATGCCGCCGAGCGGCTCATTGCTTGGAAGGGTCCGGACGACCCGTCCTCTGGGGACTTCTCATGGGGTGGCGACCCTGGCTCGCCGACCCTTCAGAGGCTAATTTGGCATGGGACCATGCCATATTCTCGCAGCAATTTGGTTAATGGCGTATCGGTGTCCGGTGGCACATACCTCAGCAACGCCAGCTCCATTGTGTATGAAACAAACATCAAGCTGGGCGACGAATTCTATTATATGTTCACTGTCTCTGATGGTTTACCGTTCACGCGCTTCACGCTTGACTACACAGGCACGCTCAAGTCTCTAAATTGGAACAGCCACTCATCATCATGGACAGTCCTGTTTGAGAGGCCCAAAGCTGCTTGCGACGTCTATGCCTCATGTGGCCCATTCAGCTATTGCGACCTCACTAGTACTGTGCCGGCATGCAAATGCTTCGATGGGTTTGAGCCTGACAGTCTTAACTTTTCAAGCGGTTGTCGGCGAACAGAGGACCTGAATTGTGGCAAGCAAAGTCAGTTCATAACTTTGACCGGGATGAAGGTCCCTGACAAGTTCTTGCATTTAAAGAACAGAAGCTTCGATGAGTGTGCCGCCGAGTGCAGCAACAACTGCTCATGTACGGCGTATGCTTACGCCAATTTGAGCAGTGGCGGTGCTAGCGATGACCCGACAAGGTGCTTGGTTTGGACAGGGGAGCTTATCGACACAGGAAAGTCAACTAACTCTGGCGAGAACCTGTACCTTCGCCTTGCTGAATCTCCTGGTATGCACTGTCCCATTGCCTTATGAATAGCTAAAAAAATTACAGGTTCCATATCTAAAATGTCATATTTTCAAGAACCATTCCTTTTAACATCATCTTACAAATGCAAAAGATATGTTTTCCAATTACTAAGGTAAGCCATACAACTTCCCCTCTTCACTTTCAAGCGCGACGACAATTATTTTTAGTCCATGTTTTAGCAACTATCCAATAGAGAGAGTTACTACTTTCTCTGGCATTGACAATAGCCAATTAGTTATTGAGTTTTGGAATAAGTGTGTCGCAATATCAAATACTATTCTAGATGATCAAATCTTTGATTTAACAAAAGCACTGGTAGTTCAGGCACTAAAGTTATCATAGTATGCGTACTTAATTAGCTTGACAAATCGGACATGTTATGCTTATGCAAGTGAATCCTGAGCTTCTGGTTGGTTGCATTTCTACAGTTGACAAGAGCAGTTTACTAAAGGTGTTACTCCCGATTATAGCATTACTGCTGTTGCTGACATGCATTGCCCTCATCTGGACATACAAATTCAGAGGTAGAGTAACAGATGTCCTCTCTTTTTTGACATATGAACACTAGTGCAAGAGTTCAGGAAAAAAAATGGATGTCTTTACTCTTTACCAGCAGGAGAATGGCGAAAGAAGGAAAACCAGAAGAAACTAATGCGAGAATACTTTAGCACATCCGATGAACTCGAAGGCGAAAGTACAGAATTTCCATTTGTTAGCTACAAAAACATCGTTTCAGCAACAAATTTCTTCGCTGATTCAAACTTGCTTGGACGGGGAGGTTTTGGCAAAGTTTACAAGGTAATATAAAGTGGTATTTACAGTAGAACATCTTTTGGATACCAAATGGTACTAACCTAATTTATCCTTCAACTATTGTCTAACTCTAGAAAAGGGCTTTGACTCTCAAATCATTTTGCTTATCCAACCGTACAAATTAGTGCACCAACCACCCCCACCCCCCACCCCCCGCGGGATCGGGATGATGTACCATCGACGAGAAGTTGAGAACTTAGGCATTTAGTGAAACATGTCATTTGCTCGCCCAAGAGTTAATACATTTCGAAATGGATGCCAAATTAGTGAAACATGTACATGTTGTCCAAAATTGGTGTGGTTTAAAATGAGCTGGCCATTTGCGCTAGTTTTGATATTTTAGGGTACAGGAGAAACACCTTTAGAGTAGAAAATTATCTCCTGGGCTAGAATTAAAAGGGGTTAAAGTGCACTTCATTGCGTGAAAGGTAACTATAGGAGTTGAAAAAGTTAGCTTCCAAGTGTTACTCTGCTAAGAATATATGCGATCTTGTAGGGCACACTGGAAGGTGGATATGAGGTTGCTGTGAAAAGGCTTAGTCAGGCTTCTGGACAAGGCATCATGGAATTCAAAAATGAAGTAGTCCTAATTGCTAAACTACAGCACAAGAACCTAGTCAGACTTCATGGGTGTTGCATTCAGGAAGATGAGAAGTTATTGATCTACGAATACTTACCTAACAAATGTTTGGACACCTTTCTTTTTGGTATGTGTTATTTTGTTGGTCGTATGTTGCTTAATTCTTAGTTATATTCATGATGACTAGATTTGTTTCACATTTGATCAAGATGTTGCACGAAAACACATGCTTGATTGGTCGACGCGGTTCAAAATAATTAAAGGAATAGCGAGAGGTCTTCTTTATCTCCATCAAGATTCAAGATTAGCAATAATTCACAGAGATCTCAAAGCAAGCAACATCTTGTTGGACGCAGAAATGACTCCCAAAATTTCAGATTTTGGTATGGCACGAGTATTTGGTGCAAACCAGAATCATGCAAACACTACTAGGGTTGTCGGGACATAGTAAGTAACTGGTGAATTAACAAATCCTTAACATTGTACTTTCCGTGGATTAATACAATATAGTTCTTACATTCCTTTCTGACATATTGAATGACTTAAATAGTGGTTACATGTCACCTGAATATGCGATGGGAGGTGCATTTTCTGTTAAAACAAACACATATAGCTTTGGTGTTCTTCTCTTGGAGATTGTTAGTGGCCTGAAGATCAGCTCACCTCAGCTCAAAACAAATTTTTGCAGCCTTATAACTTATGTAAGTGTTGTTGAACATGTACAGTTACACACACAGAGAGCAAGGGCCTCAACCTCATAAACTACTACTTTTAACTTCGTCGTCATTTCATTTTCTTGGTCAGGCGTGGAGACTATGGGAAGTTGGAGAAGCAACTGAACTAGTGGACTCTTTGTAAAATAGGGTTTAGCATATTGTACATGTACACGTATTTGTATACGTATGTAATTGTATTCTGATTATCTATATATTGAGACGTGAGGCTAGATGTTAGCCATTCACGCAAAACCCTAAACCTATCTTTTCAACTTGATATCAGCCAGGTCGGACCGTTGCCGCACGTCCCTCGCGCCGCCGCCCGATCCCATCTTCCGCGTCGCCATCGCTGCTTGCTAGCTAGCTTCCGCGTAGCCGCCGCTGCTTGCCTTGCTAGCCACGCACATAGGCAGGATCCATCAAGCTGGTTGCTAGCTAGCCACACGGCCGTCGCGCGAACACTACGCGTCGCCCGATTCATCCGCCGCCGCCGCCGCGCCGCCCTTCCGCGCCGCCGCCGCCGCGCGCTGTCCTCCTCCGCGCCGCCGCGATGTCGTCCGCCGCCCTTTCGCTCTCCAACAGCGTCGGCACCATCACCTCGCCAGCGGCTGCCACCGTTCCCGCCGCCCTCGCCGTTCCGGCGATCTCCGTTCGCCTTGGCCGCCACAACTTCATGTTGTGGGGAGGCATCGCCGGCACCGTCTTAGCCGGCGCCAACCTCCATGGCTACCTGGACGGCACCACGGCGGCACCCGACAAGACCATCGCCGTCGGGACTGGCGACGCCGCGACGACCGCCGCTAATCCGACGTATCATCATTGGTGGACTCAGGATCAGAAGGTCAAGGGCCTCCTTCTTACCTCCATGGAGGAGGACATCGCCTGTCAGCTCATCAGCTACGAGACGGCGCAGGCGGTATGGACGGCCGTCGGTGCCATGTACGGCGCGCAGAGTCGTGCCTACGTCCGTCACATCCGGCGTCAACTCCAGACGTTGCGGAAGGAGGAGATGTCTGTGGCTGAGTACATGCACAAGATGAAGGCCCTCGCCGACACGATGGCTGTCGCCGGCTCTCTGATTCGTGATGATGAGCTCATTGATCACATCCTCACCGGACTCGGCTCCGCCTACAACTCCATCGCCGCCTCCCTGGGTGTGAATAACGCACCAATGCCCTACTCCAGCTTCTACTCGCTCGTCTTGTTGTTTGAAGCGTTGCAGGCTCAGCAGAGTGCGTCGGAGGGGTGGAATCCCTCCGCCAACACCGTGACTCGCTCGGGCCCCTACGGCCAGGGCGGGCGTGCTCCCTACTCGGAACCCTACCCCTCCCAGGGTGGGGGTCGCTCGGCCGACGGCAACGGCCAGCCCGGGCACGGCCACCAAGGCAGCATCGGCGGCCCCAACGGTGGCCGCGACCGCAACCCCTCATACGCTGGCCATGGTCGGCAAAGTGGTGGGGGTAACGGCGGCAGCACCGGAGGTGGTGGCCGTCGCAACAATCGGTGGCGCCCCCGGTGTCAAATTTGCAAAAACTGGGGGCATGAGGCCAATGAGTGTTGCAAGCGCTATGACCAGGACCACAACACTCGCTCCGCCAACTCGGCCTCCACCAACACCGTCGACTATCCTTGGGTACTGGACACCGGGGCTACGGATCACCTGACGAGTGATCTGGAACGCATCCAGGTTCATGAGCGCTATAGTGGCAAGGACCAAGTTCAGGTGGCCAATGGCGCAGGTTTGTCTATTTCATACATTGATCATTCCCGTTTACCCGGTTCATCTCTTAAACTGCGCAACATCCTTCATGTTCCACACATCAAAGAGCATCTCCTTTCTGTCTACCGTCTTGTTTGTGATAATGACGTGTTTGTTGAGTTTCACCGTCGTCTTTTCTTTGTTAAGGACAAAG